AAATTTTTTACGAACAAAGATTTGATAAACCAATAGTTAATAAAATATATAATAATAATTTTAATAAATGCGATAGAAATGATTCCAATCCAGAATATTTAAAAGTTCTTGAATTTTACCAAAATAGATTTCTTGAAAATCAAAATTCAAACCATTTTGATTTTTCACTTTTATGTGAATCTAATAATTTTAATGACGTGCAAAATATCAAGAAATTTGAAAATAATGCATAAAGAGTGTATTTTTGTATTTCTTTGTTTTATTCTATCTCTTAAAAAAAAATTCATTCATTTAATTTTTAAATATAAATTTTACATTTTAATTTCTAGTTATATATTTTAATAATCATTCTTCTTTTTCTACGTATTTAGTATTTAAATTTTAATTATTTTTTTAATATTCTGTTTAATTATTTGAAGAATAATTCTCGTTTTACTGATTTGTCAATTTTAATTTTAATTATTTTTTTTAGTATTCTATTAATCTTAATTAAAATGGGTAGAAGGAAAAAATTAGACAGCCAAAATATAAGAAATGAAAAGATAAAAGCTGTAAACAACTCGGAGAACATCGCAGGCGAGATTTTGATGTGTGATGTAGATGAAGCAATGTTATCCGAGAGGCTTCCACCTCCACCGACCTTCCATGACACCACCCACCAACCACCAAGCAGTAGTTGCCAGACTAGTCCAGTCTGCTTGGTTGACACCATACCCTCGTCTTCTGGTACCGATGCCACTGCGTGTGGACCAGCCAACGGCATGACAAACCTCAATTCAGATGCCATTCTAGAAGGGAATCGACTGATGGTATTGCACTCAATACTTGACTCTGTCACAGTCGTAGAGCAGGAATGCCTAGATCTGCTATTCTAGCAGTGCAAAAGAGGTTTGAGAGAATGCACAGAAATGGTTGGCTCGCCGCTCTGCGTTAGTATAATGAGAAATTTTGATGTACATTAGATATCTATGTATTTAAAAAACTCACACAAAATGAAGCAGAAAGGGAAATAAGCCAAAAGAGAATTAAGAGCGACGTAGAATCGCCACTTGTCTCACTCAGCCATGCACCTTGACTGACACTACAGATACATAAACTTAAGAGATAAATTTTTAAGTAAAACCAAAGAAATCTCGAAGAAGAAAATTGGGAAAGTGGTGGTCTGAACTCGAAAGCTTCCAAGTGAATTGATTGAACGTAAAGTTTTAGACCTAATTAATCGAATTATCGGTGAGTATGCTGATTCTTATGTGCCGATGATGATAACTGACGTGGCACAGATAATCCAGGGCGCCCAGGTATGCTTTGACGAGGCAACACTTAAAGAAAATTTCTGATCTGCTTGGAAGAAAAACATAGAAAGTAAAATTTCATAGTTAGTATTTTCCAAAGATCTCCTCGAGAAGGCTTGTAAGCGGGAAAAGCTTTCCACTCCGAAAACGAAGAGCCTTAAGAAAATCATGCGAGAGTTAATTTAAACTTGAGCAGCGTAACTGATCTTTCTGAGGCTTTAGTTAAGAAGAATGGGTCTTGGAACATTTATGAGAAAAAAATTACGATGTATGTTGGTAGGAAGCAATTCCGAAAAGAGAATCGTATGTTTGAGATTTTCCGAGGTCGATTTTATCGTGGGTTATCTGAGCGTGTGGAATCCGAGCATGTGGTTAGTCGTGATGAAATTGTGAGTTTTTGGTCTACAATGTGGAACAAAAATGATGACACAGTCACGTATGATGATTATTTGATTCCATTTGTATCAGATAATCATCCGACCACGTTTCCCTCACTTGATGAATTTGTAAGTATCATTAATTGGCTTCCTAATTGGATCGCTGCTGGAATTGATGGATTTACAATTTTTTTATTAAGAAATTACAACTCTTCACAAATATCTTTATGATATTGTAAAAGTTATATGTTTAGATGGAACAACTCAAGCTGATTGGTTTTACTTCGGGCTTTCGTATTTGATACCGAAAAAAATTCCACGAAGAGGCTCTGACTACAGACCAATCACTTGTATGTCCAACCTCTATAAGTTAACCAGAAAGTGTGTAACGAAAGTCGTCCAAATTGAAGTGGAAAGGCGAGGGTTGCTTGCAGAGAACCAATTTGGGGCGGTAAGAGGTGTGCACGGAGCGAAAGAGCAGGCTCTACTGAATATTGCCTTTAAAAAATGGGTACGGAAACAATCTTAAGGCAACATGGATTGATGTTAAAAAAGCTTATGATTCAATAGATCATGCTTTTTTAACTCAATGCATTGAAAACCTTAATTTACCTGATTGGATCCTGAAATTTATTAAGGTAATTATATCAAAATGGAAAATTGATATATCAGTAGGGCCTGAAAAAATCATGAGCAAAAAGATTGATAGAGGGATTCTACAAGGAGATAGTTTGTCACCTTTGTTATTTGTGTTGTGTATGGATCAGTTAAGCCGAAAGCTTAATGAAAAATACACAAAAGTGACAGTACAAACAGATGCAGAATCCCATTCTACTAATCATCTCTTGTTTATTGATGATCTTAAGCTCCTTGCAAAAGACAGCTCCACATTGAGTGCTATGACAGGCGAGGCAAAGGAATTTTTAGAGGTGATTGGCTTAGAGATTAACAAAGAGAAGTCAGCCACAAATGATACGTGTTGTGAAGATACTGCTACTTTTCTAGAAGGTGTTAGTGTTTACAAATATTTAGGAATAATAGAAGATAGCAGAGGAATCCCAACACGTAGCTCATTTGAAGAAGTACAGAGCAAACTTATATCAAGAGTTGAAAGACTTTGTCACACTAGATTAAATGCAAAAAATTTATTTTCTGCAATCAATCAACATGCGATATCGTTAATCAACTATCACATAGGAGTACTTCGACTTGAACCGGCTGACTTCTCTAAGTTAGATGATGCAGTGCGTGCGGTGTTGGTGAAGAATAAGATACATCTTCGCTTAGGATGCAAAGTGCGTTTGTATCTTCCTAGAACAGAACTTGGAAGAGGCCTACATAGTGTTGAGTTGCGAAGCGAACATTTGCTTCTGCAAATCTTGGATTGTCTGGAAAAAAGTAAAGAAATATCAACTAGACGAGCAGCAATCCTCAACGTGGAGAATAATAATAAAACCCATCTTGCACTAATAAAAGGCTTCTTAAAAGTAAAGTACAGGTTGGTAGAAGAAGTCACTAAGAAAAGTTTAGAAGAAGCTCAACTTGCAAAACTATATAACGAAATAGAAAAACGAAAACTCCATTGAAAGTTATATAATGCAAGAAAAAATGAGCTTGTGAGTTTTAGTGATTCTTCAAGATGGCTAAAGAGAGGAAATATTAGGCCACGCAATGAAGCTGTGTTCTGCTATATCCAGGATAGAAATGTATTCTGGGGAGCAGATGGTATGTGTCAACATTGCAGGAAGTCTGGAAGACTGTAGATCATCTAGCAACTCGATATGAAAAAATGCTAGGCCATGACTACACCAGACGGCATAATGAAGTGATTAGATGCTTACACTTACTTCTCTTAAATAGATATAAGTTTAAGTCCTCAAAAAGAATTAGGAGTCACTCAGTTCAAGGAATTCTTGATAATGAGTACGCAGAGATAAGAGTGGACACCAGAATAAAAACTGATGTTAAAATTCGGAATAACAGACCGGACATATTTATTTTAGATAAGAAGAAGAATAAGATAACACTCATTGAAATATGAATCACTTCCCAAGACTCACTTCAAATAGTTGAAACTGAAAAACGCAGAGAGTATGACCTGTTAGCCAATGAGTTGGGTCTTATTTATAAGTGTAGTGTAGAGATAATTCCTTATGTGATGACCTGGGATGGTATTGTGACAAAATATTATAAGACATATGTTAAAAGACCAGAAATACTTATGAATGTAGAGGCATACATTCAGTCTATAGTACTCAAGAAGACAGTCGAAACAATTTCCTTTGATCGACGAAGAGGACTTGAGTCAGGACTAAATGCCGAAGAGAGCTGGGAGAGAGCGTCAATGGGTGTTATTATAGGAGCTGAGATGCATAAACAGCCAACACCCCTCTTAAAAGAAGAGAAGAGAGAGGAAGATGGTGCAAAAACTTTTAAACTAAAAAATAAAGCACCCTTTATTTTACAAGGAGGAATCATTTTAGAGGAACCGACCAATAACATAAATAAAGAGTCGGATTTGGAAGAAGAGACAAAAGTGGTTAAAGAGGTAGAAGAAAACATATAAAAATGGTAAAAAATATTTTAACCCATAATTTTATTAAATAAAAAAATCAAATCTCTTAAAAATTATTTTTTTAAATTATTTTTTATTTTATATCTCTTATAAAATTTCTTAAAAATTTTTATAAAATCTCTTAAAAAGTATTTTTTTAAATTATTTTTTATAATTTCTCATTTTTACATATTTCATAAGAAACTTCTCTATAAAAATCAATACGGCTCTTCATTATTCCAATTATAGCACCATATTTCTTTAAAAACATTTTTTTACATTTAATACACTTACCATGCAATATACTAATATCTTTATATTTAATAAATCCACAATTAGGACAAATAATCATAGCATTGTTTTTTATTATAATTTCTTTCTTTTTATTATAAATTTCAAATGGATCAAAATCTTCTTCAACTAATAATTTTAGTTTTCTTAAAAAATTCATAAGGAGAATAATTTCTAGAAAAAATATATTTAATATATAAATATTACATATACTTGATTATTAAAGAAAAGTGCTTGTTAGTATTACTGATATATGGATTTATAAATCAGAAAATGTTTTTATTTATTTAATCAGATCAGAGTAAGGATTTTTTAAAATTTTAAGCTTTAATTTTTTTTTATTGTCTTCTAAAATTATTTTATATAAAAAATAATTTAATTTAATTAATATCAGTCATTTATTTATGCATCTAAAAATAAAAATCTAATTTCAATTTTTGTAATATTTCTTATTTTTAGTAAAAAAATAATTGTTAAATAAAAAAATGTGTCGCTCCGGAATTGAACCGGAGACCTCCCGCGTGTTAAGCGGACGTGATAACCAACTACACTAGCGACACTTAGTTAGATTGAAAACTTATAGATTTAAATAAATTTGATTTTTTATTTTAACGCCTGTTCTTTGATTTTAATTAAATTCTTGCTTATGTTTGATAAAATAGAATTTATAATTTTAAAAAACATGGAAAAATCAAAGAGTATCGTTACGGAACCCCGGAACTTTCAAGGGCTGTAGGGCCGCAGAGTAAGTAATTTAAAATTATTGATTTTTTAATTTTTTTTAAAATTTTAAGTTCAAATCATTTTTATTAATTCTTACTTTAATTATTAAATTCTTTCTTTTTAAAAATCTTTATTGGCCTTTTCTTTAAATTCAGAAGAATCCTTGTTAATGGATTTCGATATTTTAAAATTCAATATAACATCTAAATTGCAAGAAATAATAGATTTAACACCAAAAATTATAGAAAATAATAAAAAAATAAATTTTTATTATTTAAAAGATGTTTATAATTCGTTTAAATCGATTTTTAAAGTAACACAGCTATCACTAACAGAATTTTATAAAGTATTGATTACATTACCAGAGATGTCTGTTACTTCTAATCAAGATACTTCGTTTTCTATAGTTTGTTATAAAAAAGACTATAATCGAGAAAAAATTGAACAAATTTTAAATCCAAAAAGTGTTTTAAAAAATAATGAAGAAGATTTTAGTGATAGCAGTGATTTTTTTAAAAATGGTGGTAAAATAGAAATTATAGAACCAAAAAATAAATTTATAAAAAATAGAAATAAAAATTTAAATTTAAATTCACAATTTTCTAATAAAAAACCGATTCAGCAAATCAAAAACCAAGTCAGTGGAAATCAACCAAATTCTTATCCTGATATACTTGGTAAGATTTTAGATGTATTTAAATATGGAATAGTAATTCAAACATCTTCAATCTCGAATGAAATGTGTAAAATGCACGGACAAATGTTTAATTATAAGAATTCTCCGTGTCAGGTAGGAAGGCATCCACATGGAAATTTGAGTAAATATTTTTCGTGTTGTAAAAATTCTTTTACAATTTTAAATTTAAAATCTTCGTATATTAAAAGAATCGATCAAGAAGCTGATAGTTTAATTAAAAAAAGAAAATCTTTTCATTTAAAAGATGTTTCATTTACAGAAGAAAATAGCAAATTTATGATTTTTCATTTGGAATGTTTAATTGTAAATATTTTTTGTTGTAAAACCACACTTTCATTGGATGATCTTCAAGAAGTATTTAAAAATGTGTACGGATTTACCTTGGAAAGTGTGTGTGGACAAAGAGTAGAAATATTTATTAATCAGATTTTATCTTCACCAAATCTTTATGTAACTAAATCTGAAAGAGGAGTCAGTGTCACCTGTATTCCTACTTTTAATGAAGAATATAAAGATTTTGGAAATTCTGAATATTTTTTAAAAGTTCAGGAAATTGAACAATCAATTTCTCTTGGAAATTCAGTTGTAACTTCTGTGTCCCTGCAAATTGAAAAAAAACCAACAAAACAAAATACTGTGATATCTCAACCCTCACGAGATACGGGTATTTCTAAGAAAGATTTGATGGCACATAAAAAAATCAACGTTCCTGTCTCTTCATTAAGTATTTTTCCAAAATATAAAAAATTTACAGAAATGCTTAATTTTGCAGATAAAAATGTCCCAAGAAGTTTACAAATTCGTAAATTTGTATGTGACAGTGCTACCTTATATAAAGATATGGAAACATCTGGTGTCAGTGATGCATGGGTGTATTTGTACGAATCACTTGCACTCGATGACAAAGATTTGCTTTAAGTTTTCTAAATAAATCGTATTCCTATCATTTGCTCTATATATGTCGATTATTTATCTATTATTAATTTATATAACCTTTCTTCAAAGATTTTATTTAATATTTGTTATTTATTGTTTATTTATTGTTTATTTTTTGTTCATTTTTTTAATTATATTGTCTATTTAAAATACATTTATTTAATATTTAGATATCTAATATTCAGATAGCTAATAATTTGACATTTGATCTCTAATCTTATATTTTATACTTTTATACTTTTATACTTTTATATATTCTAATTAAATATTCTTTAAGGTAATATTTTTTTTATCTTTTAATTTTTCATATATTTTAATTTAATATTCTATATTTAATATTTTAATATTAAATCAATCAAAATATTTTTAAATTTAAAAGATTGTAGATAAAAAAGTATTAGTTGGGTATTTTATTAATTTACACAGCTATATTTTCACACTCCTCAGTCGATTCATCTACAAGAGGTTCATCATAATACTTATAAATTCCAATTCTTCTTATTTCCATTTCGTGTATGTCCTGTACTAACGAACTACAACAAAAACAACTCTTTAAAATACTTACTTCGTGGTCTTCCTGGTATTTTAATTTATTTTGAACGAATCTTCTGATTCCGTAGGCACTGAAAGGTATGCAGATAAGAGCAAAGAGTGAGAAATTGGTATTTTTAAATATTCTTGCATATACTATTGAAGAGACCAGACACGGACATAAAAACGTAGTGAAACATAGTTTGGGCACAAGAATCGGACAAAGGTATGGTATATCGTAATCCATGCAGTGGTTGTCAAATAAACTTATTATATTATTTATCTCCTTTTATTAAGGAGAAAGATCAATTGTTTTAATAGATCTGTTCAAATATCAATTTCATTGGTTTGTGATATTTTTAAGGAGATAAATGTAGAACTTGAATTACTTACTATCTCTAACCAATTAGATTTTATAAAAAGAGTGTATTTGTAAAGAAAATGTAAAAAGATTTGTATCTCATTAAAGATACAATTAAAAGATAATATTGTATAACTTTATAAAATAGTAGTCAAGATTATTAGAAGATCGTTAGAAGACTGTTTAATGTGTTAAATCTGAAGATATTTTTATTGGTATTTTTCTTTTCTGTTCTTATATTTAATTTTAATTCAGTCGATTTGAATATTTACGTAACGCTCTTCATTAGAGATAATAGTAGTTTAAATACATTTAAAGAAAATTTTTGTATCCCATAATTCATTAAATGAATATCATACTTTGCTATAAGTTTCTCAACGCTGATCTAGATTAAAAATAACGAATCAATTAAAATCAATGTTTAGGTTTGAAATTTATATAAAACTAGTGGATTCTTTATATCTTTAATAATTCATACATATCTTTTTTGATGTGTAAATTTGTAATTTTGTAGAAATACATTTGTGTTGGTTTTAATGTACTTATCTTCTGTCTTTTATATTTAAAAAAGTTCATTTACAATCAGTATTTTTCAAAATAAAAGAAATATTTGAGAAATGAAATAAAATCCAATTTATTGTTTAACTTTTACCCGGAATTATTTGATTGGATTCGTAAGGTATAAACCAATCACTTGATATTCTTTATCATGATATCTGAATTGATTTTATCTATAGGTTTCGGAATATCAAACTCTACTAATTCTTAATTCGTATATTATATTTCATTTCATGACATAATCAAATAATTTTTAAATTTTTAAAATCGTTAAAAATTAATTTGGTGAGTCTGGTTTTTGGAATATCTCTGTATATTTGTAGCACATTATAAACATTCAAGGTGTTTTTACGTTCGTTCTTATATCAGGTTTTTTAGATTTGGTATTAAAGATCTAATCAGAGACCGGTATGATTTTTTTATACGTTAATATTTGGCCTATTTGCTAACATCGATCTACCATATTTTTTTCTAAATAATATCAATTTAAGATCTTATTTATGATTCATCATTCGAAATAAAATAATTGCCAGACTTTTTATTGATTTAATTTTAATTGAAATATAAAATTTACTTAGAAATTTGTTTCTTTAAAAGGCTATTTACTCACCGTTTTCAGATAACCTATTAGAAAAACGAATAACACCTCACAACGACATACTTAGAAATATTAAATGGATTTGAAAATATAGGGCACATAAATGCTGTTTTTTTGTTAAGAATATAGATCTTATGATTTATTTTAAGATCTTAAAAAGACAATACTAGGGTGGGAAAGAAGAAAGAAATATCTTTGAAACGTTTAATTTATTCTTATTGACATCAATACTAACTACTGATGACAACCTTTTTAAAATTGTCAATTCATCATAGTAATAGAATTTATAATCTATTTTTTTTAATATTTCGTTTTAAAATAATAATTCGATGTAAATTGCTCGTTCGGTTTTCATTTCTTACTATTTTTAGAAGTACGTTAACAATAGTAGCGTATGTTTTATATTTTTAAGCCTTTGTAAGAGAGTTCTATTTATTTGCTTAAATGGTTCACTAAAACAATTATATTTGAAATTCTATCATGGAATAATTATATAGAGCTATTCGGCATTCTTAAACAATAAAAATACAAAATTATAGAATAACTTCCTACCAAACTATAATCAAATTTATAAAAAATTCTTTTTTACGTTAAGAAAAAACTTACATGTCTATAAGATCAGCAGAAAAAAGGCAGTAAGTAGTATAAATAGAAGACATCACAAATTAGAATGAAAAAAAAGAAGTTTAAGTCGACTAAAAACCGTAGGAGCAAGTTAAACATTAAATAAAGCAATTTAGTGGTATAAATACTCTGAGAATTTTAAATAAATATATAAGAGATTAACGAAATACCAATGAAACACTAATTAATATTTTAATAAAGGAATAGAACAAATATATAGAGAGCCATAAGAATTTAAGAAATTATAACAAATTTAATGAATTTAATGAATTTTGAGAAGAGTTGTCTACCTATCCATATATTTTTCGTTGAATCCAAAATTAGATCTGATATCATAATTTACTGCTTATAACATATAAAAAGTTAAAATGAATTGATATTGTGGGTAAATAACTGATAATAGATGTATAAAGATATATTTGACAATTAAGCTAAATTTTTGCAAATATAATACTAATTCGTTCCCGTAAATACAAAAATAACAAAAAAACCAAAGAAATATAAGAAAAAAAGAAATGATAAAAATAATGAG